ATATTAATGAAAAAAAAAAAGTGTCAGAATATGATTGATGAAAGAGGGAAAAAGAAAAAAAATGAGATCATAAGAAATTGGTACCTTGGGGCTATTGACTGGAGAGCTAGCAGTGTCTTCCAAAGGGTCATCTTCTGATATCTGTTTGGCTCTTGCTTTCTTGAAACATAGTTTTTTGGGTAGATTTGGTGCACTGGAGAGGAGATGATTGTGATGAGAAAATTTCCATGCAGCAGAAGAAGCAGCATCTGAGAGCAAAGAGGAGCCATCCAAACTGGAACAGTAACTTGGCTCTATGCCCTTTGAGAAATCTTGCAAGTAAGATGTCCATCCACTTTCCCCATCAGAACCATTTGGGGTTTTGCTGCCAGCCACTGCTCTGCCTCTGGATGAACAATTCAGAGAATGATCCATTGGTCAAACTCTAACAAGAACAGCATATATACTATATAGACCACCACAATAATAACAATCATTATTATTATGGGTTTAGTAGTAATAATCTCTGTTAGACTAAAAGTTATAAAGCATTTCTTAGTTTAAGTAATATTAAATTTGATTTTATTGAGTATGATTTTGTATTTTAGTTTTATGTATATAAAAGTTGTGATTGAAAGGAAAGATTTTATTAAAAGTGATTAATCAAATTTATCAATAGAGATTAACAATTAACAAAATTTATAAATACTTCATACTAATAATATAATCATAAAAAAATAATTATAATATTAATCAAATAAAAATTATTATTTGTATAAATTTTAAGATAATCATCATAAAAGTTAATAAATTTGTCATATATTATAGTTTATAATTGAATATCATGTAAAATTATTTTACACTCTCATTATATCTTATTATTATTATATGCAAATAAAAAATATATAAAAACCGTCATCTAATCACATTACTATGTATAATTAGTAGTAATTTTGACTACCTTTACAATATATACTAAGAGTATTTTTTATTGGTTAATAGGTAGCAAAATTTTAGTAACTATGCATAAGCATTAAACTAATTATAATAATATTTGGAAGAGTTTGAGAAAAGCTTTTGTAGGGATTTAAAACCGAAAGTAAAGAGTGAAGAATGGAGAAAAGGGGAGCCCATACAATATTCCTGGGGTGGGCCATAGGGTGTTGAGGAAGTTAAAGTAACAGTTGAAATTCCAACTGAAAAACCAAAGCTAGAAAGTAGAGAGAGAAAGAGAGAGAACGTGCATTGGAAAAAGAAAAAAAAAATTATAGAGAGAGAAACAGTTGACCTTTGAGGTTCTGAAGGACGGCATTTTCCTATTTTCATTTTCAAGAGTTGCCTTTGTGGGGATGGAAATTGTGTAGATTCATTGTATTTGTATGCCAGTAAAATATACTACTCACAACAGATACATACGTATATGTAACTAGTTAGCTGATTTTTATATTAGTTTTTTAATTAGAATTTAAGTACCACTTTATATAATAACTTAGACTAACTTTTCATATATATTTTTATTACTTGAATTATTGATGTGAGATTTTAATTTAAATAGAAGAGCAATATTAAAAACACTTAAATGAACTGTATTAATTTTTTTTGTCTAAAATAAATACCTCCATGCATCATCACACGAATTTTTTTTTAACAGCAAAGTGTATATATATTATATTGGTATAAGGGATACCATAATCCATATACAAGATTGTTATTAAAGTTGGGCTTAATTTAAATAATAAAATTAATTACCAACTACAACTTTCTCTCTCACACACACACACATATATATATATATATATATATATATATATATATGAGTATAAAAAAGATTCTTCTTCTAGCATATGTACAAGATTAAGAAATGTTTATCATATTTTAGATTTCATAAAAAAAATGTCATGCAATTTTTTTATTATATCCTTATCTTTCATATTAATTAATTTTATTTCATATATAATATATATATATATATATATATATATATATATAATATTTAATATATAAAAGTTATTGGGTTGTAATTTGGCATTTAGCACATTATTGTGTTGTTTTTAGCTATAAATGAATGGTTCAATTCATAATTCTGTTAAATTTGATGTTTTTTTTAATAAGTGTTCTCATTTTTTATTAGTATTTTACATTTTATAATTTATAAGATAAATATTTAATTATATATAATTAAAATATAGACTTAATTATATTTTTTTTGACATTCAGGTTTCATAATTTTACAAATTTTGCTATCCAAAATTTTAAATTTGTATTTTTAATCACCCAACATTCAACAATTCACAATTTTACTTTCTTGTTAATTTTTTTTACGTCATTAGTTAATTATTATCATGATATATCGATTCTCAATATATCATGTTGAACACTGATATATGAATTGGTGATACTGCATACAGGTATTTGATATAATATGTTATGTTAGTAATTAATATATTAAAAAAATCTTCTAAAATAGCAATCAATATTTTCATTCAAAAATAATTTCTAAAAATTACTTTTATTTGATAATAACATCTAGAATCACACTCATATAAGGTGATGAATCAAATTTATAATATACTCCATATACATCCCATTTGATCGGGTTTTTAGAAAAAAGAATCTTATTTTATATTGTAATTTTAGAATATATATCAACAAAGTACACTAGTAGAAAAAATACTTTTAAGATCGGTCATTTTTAAGTTTTAAGATCGGTTCTTTGACCGATCTTAAAAGAGATGATCTTAAAAGTGGAACTTTTAAGATCGGTCGTCAGCCGATCTTAAAAGTCTAGCTTTTAAGATCGGTCATGCCAATAGCTGATCTTAAAAGCTGAACTTTTAAGATCGGTCATAGTAATAACCGATCTTAAAAGCTGGTCAGCCGATCTTAAAAGTCTAGCTTTTAAGATCGGTCATGCCAATAGCCGATCTTAAAAACT